CCTGTGGCTGTGTGTGACAGGCATGTGCCAGGTCAGCGGTGATGACAATCCGACTGTGGCCGCAGACTTGGAGTTTTCTATACACATCTTCCTCGGTGTCGGCATCTTGACTACGCTTCTCCAGACGCTGGCATGGAAACCCCTGGCCAGAACGGAACATCCGTGGTGATTTGGGGATGGTGTTTTAGGATACAGCCATGGACTTCACCCAAAAAGACTGGGCCTTGCTGAACATGCCCCAGAGAAAGCTGTTCATGGATGTGAAGCTGGGACACATGAGCCATCGGGTCTCCACAGGGGCCTGTCAGCATTCGTTTATCATCAACAAACGTCAAGAACAGCTTCCCGTATCACTCCCTGCCACTGGTGGCAGGAGAGATGAGCAGTTGCTCAGTGGGTGTAGAATTTCAGTTTTGCGGACATGAAAAAGTTCTATAGATCTGTTGCACAAGAACATGCATATAGTCAATATTACCATACACAACACCTAAAAATAAGTAATTGGTAAATTTTATATTATGTGCTTTTTTACCACAATGAGAAAGACCCTTAAAATGATACCTCAGTCCATTATTCTTCAATGTATCTCAGGGTTATAATCAATGTACTGGTTAAGAAAGAAGTCACTGCTCTGAAAGGTATCCAGAGCTCATCAGGTAGCTCCTGTCCCATCCCCAGCTGTCCTGATGAAGCTTTCCCTTACAGAAAATGTTTAAGGTTAGGGTTAGGGTTAGGGTTGGGGGTTAGGGTTTAGGGTTAGGGAAGCATACATGTTAATAAATGAACAACCTGCTGTTTTCTTTCAGTGAATTGAAGTATTTCACAAGCGTATGCCTTTACATTAAGACCTACCCACCTCCTGCGAAAACATGTTTCTTTGCCTCTTAGTAGCTTTAAGGCCTAGTGCAATACCTGGTTGTAAAACACAAATGCAAGCATACTTGTGAAATATGCATTTTTATCTGATTTATTTTAGTGAATGGAAGCGTTTGAGAAGGAACTTGTTTGAGCAATATGAACTAACCATTTGTGGGGAAAACATTTCTCTTTGCCTGTTTGTTGCTATGAGGTGAACATGAATATATTTCTCTAGTGTACAAAGGGAATCATAATTGTCAACAAATGAACAAAAGCTGTTTCTTTCAGTGAATTGAAGTGTTTGCCAAGGAAATATCCTTTTATTATTATCTAACCCACATACTGTGAAAAAATGTTTCTTCTTCATGCTCCCTCTGAAGGTGCTAGAGAAGGATCTCTTCCAGCCTCTTTCCAGGTTCTGGTAGTTTCTTGGCTTGTGACAGTAAAGCTCCAATCTTTTCAGACCTTCTTCTCTGTGTGCATATGTGTCTGAATTCCACTTTTTATAAGGTCACGATCATAGTGGAAGGCTAGTCCTAATGACTTCATCTTAACATGATCATCTGCAAAGATTGTATTTCCATCTAAGTTCACATTCGCAGGTACTGGAGTTAGGACTTCAACACATAAATTTTGGGGAACACAACTCAACCCATAACAGTGTCTCTGCCTCTTCTAGTGATCTCCATATCCTTGCCTGACCCAGGTACCATGGCCCCGCCCAGGGCAACCCATCCCCCTCCCGGGTGCCCCAGGCAGATCACAGCAGAGCCTGACTGCTGGGCTTGGGGTTGGTGCTGGGGTCCTTTGCCCAGTGATCGCTGGGCAGAGACCATTCTAGGGTTTGGATGCTGAAGTTTTGAAGGTAGGAAAAAACAGAGGCCTGTCTTTGGGCACTAACAAATAAGGAGCCCCTCTACTGGGGGAATCTCATATTCTCTATGTTCTGGGCAGGAAGAAATACTTGCAGCCCAGGCCCCCAAAGGCAAAGGCCCTTTCTGGCTCTGAGAGGCATTTCTCCTGCCCTGTGTGCCTATGGGGCCCCTGAGGTTTTGTGGGGAGACTCAGCAGATCCAGATCCTGGTCAGCAGGGGCAAGGCAGGTCTCAGAATATATCTTTAGGCCGGGCGCGGTGGCTCACGCCTGTAATCCTAGCTCTCTGGGAGGCCGAGGCGGGCGGATTGTTTGAGCTCAGGAGTTCGAGACCAGCCCGAGCAAGAGCGAGACCCCGTCTCTACCAAAAATAGAAAGAAATTAATCGGACAACTAAAAATATATAGAAAAAATTAGCCGGGCATGGTGGCGCATGCCTGTAGTCCCAGCTACTCAGGAGGCTGAGGCAGGAGGATCGCTTGAGCCCAGGAGTTTGAGGTTGCTGTGAGCTAGGATCATGCCACAGCACTCTAGCCCGGGCAACACAGTGAGACTCTGTCTCAAAAAAAAAAAAAAAAAAAAAAGAACATATCTTTAGTGTCCAGAGTGGAAGGGTTGTGGATGGAAGCAGATGCAGCATCCTCAGCTCTAACCAACTATAAAATACTACTGTGAATCCACTTCCTGGAGGTGACCTGTGGGGCACCTCAGGCTGATGTATTTATAACAGTGTCTGTGTGGCTTGTGAGCCTTCTTGTGGGACCTGCGCCACCTTGTAATCAGACAAGCAACCCCCACAGCTGGGATGCCTCACCAGTGTGTCCAGGGACACATGTTCATTTGATTCACAAAGTTTCCCTGAGGGTATCTGGAGACCTGGCTCTGGGCGAGAACCTGAGTGCACAGCCACCTAGAGGCTCTGTGATCGCAAGAGAGTCACTTAGCCATCTGCACCTTGCCTTCCCCCCTGCACATGGGACTAGCCACACCCAGCAGAGTTGCTGTGAGTCCCCCTGAGCAAGACACCTGCACGTGGTGGTGCTCAGACAAGCTGACTTCTCTTTCTTAGGACGGGGTAACCGTCAGAGACTCTGTGCAGAGCTGTGGATTATGGCAGGGCAAGGTTCAGAAGACCCTGTGAGCCCTGAGGAGGTGTCACTGGTCATTGTGCATCTGTGAAGGCATCAGGGAGACGGTGACCTTGACCTGAGATGACGAAACGGCCAGTGGGTTTAGGAGCTGGTGGGCAGTGTGGCTGGAGCACGTGTCCAGAACGTGGCTGGCCAGGCCCAGGCAGTGCCGGACTGTGGAAGGACGTGAACGTGAATGCCAGGCTAAGGGGACACCATGGGGAGAGAGATTACCCTGTTGGTTTTCTTCTCACTATCCTGATACTGTCATTTGCAGAAACTTTGAAGTTTCGATGAATCCCAATTTCTTTATTTTTTCTTTTGTCTTCTGCGCATTCAATGTCATACCCAAGACATCACTGAGAAATCCAATGCCAATAAGCACACAAATGCCACCATGATCTGACCAACCAGAGGGAGTCCACTCCCACCTGGCCCAGCAGTGTCCCTGTCGATTATCCTATTTCCTTATTCAACTCACTTCCTGCCCCTACAAACCACTGTCAATCACAAATCTGTTTACCATCTCTGTAGTCTTTCCTTTTCCATAATATCACAAAAATGGGACCATATAGTATGTGATCTCTTCAGACTGACTTCTTTCACTTAGTGATGTGCATGTCACATTCGTCCATGTCTTTGCACAGCTTCATGGATCACCCCTTTCTCTTTCTGAATAGTGTTCCATTCCTTGGATAGGCCCCAGCTTGGTTATTCATTCACCTATTGAAGTTCATCATGACTTCTTATTTGGTCATTATGAAGAGAGCAACTGTACATAAGTGCATATTGGTGTTTATTCGAATGTAAATTTCCAAAGCAGTTGTCTAAATATCTAGGAGTGCAGTTGTTGGCTTATATGATGAGACCATGTCCAGCTTTGGAAAAAACTGCCCAACTGTCTTCCTGAGTTGCTGTACCATTATGCATTCCACCAGTAATGAATGAGAGTTCCTGTTGCAATTTCTGTTGCATTTTAAAGAAGATTTTTAGCCGTTTAGTGCTATCTCATTGTCATTTTAATTTGCTTTTCCCCATGATAAGCAGTGTTGAGAATTATATTGAATGCTTGTTTGCCATTTGTATATCTTCTTCGATGAAGTGTCTGTTCATATCTCTACTTTTTAATTGGGTTGTTGAGTTTTAGATTTTTTGTATATTTTGCATAAAATTCCTTTTTAGATGTGTTTTCTAAATATTTTCTCTCAGTCTGTGGCTTGTTTTTTGGTTCTCTTAATAGGAACTTCTACAGAGTAGACATTTTAAATTTTAATAAAGTCTGCATTATCAATTTTTTTTTTCATGAAGTAGCTTTTGGTGTCGTATCTAAAAGCTCATCGCCCAGCCCAAGGCCATGCAGATTTTCTTCTTGCAACTTTGCATTTGTAAATTTACATCTATGAACAATTTTGAGTAATTTTGGGGGTATGTTATGAAGTTTGTGTCTACGTTCATTTTTTTCCATATGGTTTCCTATTGTCCTGTTGTCATTTGTGCAACAGAGTTTTCTTTCTCCACTGAATTGGCTTCGTTCCTTTGACACAATTGGTTCTCTTGGGTCTATTTTGGGACTCTCTATTCTGTTCCACTTATATTTGTCTCTTCCTTCACCAATATCACACTCATTTTGTTAACTGTAGCTTTTTGATAAGTGTTTGGATTCAGATATGTAAGTTCTTTAACTTTGTTCTCACTAGTATTATGTCATCTATTCTAGGTTTAGAAACAGATTGTTGATATCTTTGCCTGGAACTTGATTGGAATTTGGCTGAATGTGTAGATGAAAGTAGGAAGAATTGTCATCTTAAAAATAATGAGTGTACTGCTCCTAAATGAGGAATGTGTCTGCATTTATTTATACTTCTTTTGATTGTTCTCAACCATGATTCAAGGTTTTCTGAATGCATATTTGTATATATTTCATTAGATTTATAATTAATGGATTCAATTTTTAGGGTGATACTTTAAATGGTATTTTTAAAAATTTCATGTTACAATTATTTCTATACATTATTGCTGATATAAAGGAAATCAATTGACTTTTGTCTATTGACGATCTATATCTATAATAAAGTGGGCTCTATTTTGGCTTGAATTTCTGAAATTATGGCCTGGAATAATCTAAACACTGAATTTCAGGTATTCACCTGGACTGCTGGGAAGAGGCACAAGGGCCCTGCCAAGCAGAGAGTGATGCACGCTCAGCCCACAACCTGCCTTCCCTGATCCACACGTCAGCCTCTGCAACCCACCACAGACGTCCCACAGTGCGGACAGAGCTTCCCCTCCTCAGGACCCATTCAGGAGAGGCCATGGGGCTCCTGGGGGCTGCAACAGTGGTGAGGACTGGAGCTTCTTCTTCTTCAGAACCCACCCAGGAGAGGGTTGAGGACACCTGGGGGCCATGTGAGGGAAAAGCCTCCTTTCCCAGCCCTGAGTGCTGAGGGGGGAGCTCTGCTACATTTCTGTCTCGTGTAATATTTTAGAAGTCTTGTTTTACAAAAGTATCCCTTCATTGAGGCTTTGACTGTGCATCAACGAAGCATGCCAAAATGTGTTTTACAGAGTTGGGATTGTTCCTGGGGAGAAATGCTGAGATGCAACATCAGGATGGTTGGGGTGAAAGTTGGGGATGGGCAGGTGCCTGAGCCTGAGGTCAAAGGAAACTTGTGTACCCTATGTTAAGGCTTTTATTCATGTTTTAGTGGCTCAGTTTTCTTATAGTATTAGAGTAGGTGAAACATTGAAAAATTGAAGCCAGGCACCTTGCGAGGCCAAGGTGGGAGGATCACTTGAGGAGTTCAGAGACCAGCCTGAGCAACACAGCAAGACCCTGTCCCTATCTCAAAATAAATGGATGAATGAAAGAAAAAGAAAAATTGAAAAGTAGGCATATTAAAATTTACATTATTTAAGTTTAAATATATTATTTATACCTCATAAACAACATTATTTCTTTTGTTGAGAAAGTCACAGTTTAATTGGCAGTATATTTGTAATGATGCATAAAACAATGCCTGTTTTATAAACACTGACATCCTGCATTACATGAACTATATTAACCATATCAAGCTTTGATATTATACCATGAAATCAATTGAAGACAGTTACCCCTCTTGGTTTTTTTTTTAGCCTTTAACCATTTTAAATAAAATTAAAATTTGTTAAAGGTCAGTTAACATTCAGGTGTGAATAAGGCTTTCTCTATTGTTATGACAGTATAGTGAATGTGAAGATACTTTGTGATA